CTGCCTCACCTCCCCGTGGCTGGGCTGTGGGAAGTCGGGGGGCCAGGGGCATGGCCTGTTTGTGACCAGCCTGCCCGGGCTCCCAGGTGGACGTGCATATCATGATGCAGCCGCCCTCAGGCGAGTGGCTGTACCTGGACACACTGGTGACCAACAGCAGCGGGCGTGTCTCATACACCATCCCTGAGACTCACCGCCTGGGCGTGGGTGTCTACCCCATCAAGATGGTGGTCAGGTACGTGCCTCCACAGGGCGCGCAGGCGGAGGTGGACTCCTCTGGGCAGGAGGGAGGGGATCTGCGGGGTTCTGATGAGCTGCCCCCGCCCCCCAGGGGAGACCACACGTTTGCAGACAGCTACATCACAGTGCTGCCCAGGGGCACGGAGTTCGTGGTCTTCAGCATCGATGGCTCCTTTGCTGCCAGCGTGTCCATCATGGGCAGCGACCCCAAAGTGCGGGCTGGGGCCGTGGACGTGGTGCGGTGAGTGGCCCTGAGGGGCACAGTGGGCGGGCCTGGAGGTGAGAAGTTCCTGGAGGCCAGGTGGGGAGGCCCTGGGGTGCCAGAGCAGGGGGCATGTGGCAGGGACCTTGGGGCTTGAGAAGCTGGCACCGCCGCTGACTAGCTGTGTGACCTTCATTTAACCTCTTGATGATGATGCCTCCATCCCCTCATCTGGGAAGCAGGGTCCTCACAGGACCAGTCACACCTGCTGCTGAGGGCATCTGTGGGGTTGTATGACTTGGGCCGTGGGCACCACACAGGGGCCGTCATCATCACTGTTGCTACTGTGACTGCTGGGGCCTAATTAGAGGGACGCTCTTCAGTGGCCCACGTGGAGGCTGGCTGGGCAGGGAGACGGGTGGCCCGAGAAGGGGGACGTGGTGGCCATGGGACACCCAGGCCTGCCTCTCGCCCCCAGGCACTGGCAGGACCTGGGCTACCTCATCATCTACGTGACGGGCAGGCCCGACATGCAGAAACAGCGGGTGGTGGCGTGGCTGGCCCAGCACAACTTCCCCCACGGCGTGGTGTCCTTCTGTGACGGCCTGGTGCACGACCCGCTGCGCCACAAGGCCAACTTCCTGAAGCTGCTCATCTCCGAGGTGGGTCCTAGTGGGAGGGACTGTCAGGAACAGGGCGGGGACAGGGCGGGGAAGGGGCGAAGGCTGTGCCCGTGCCTGTGCTCACGCAGGTCTCGCCCACAGCTGCACCTGCGCGTGCACGCGGCCTATGGCTCCACCAAGGACGTGGCGGTGTACAGCGCCATCAGCCTGTCCCCCATGCAGATCTACATCGTGGGCCGGCCCACCAAGAAGCTGCAGCAGCAGTGCCAGGTGGGTGGGCGCATCACGGTGGGCGGCACAGGCGGGCAGCCCCGGCTGGGAGCCGGGCCCCGTGACAGCTGCCTCCCTCACTGCCCCCCCCTGCAGTTCATCACAGACGGCTACGCGGCCCACCTGGCCCAGCTCAAGTACAACCACCGGGCTCGGCCGGCCCGCAACACGGCCACCCGCATGGCCCTGCGCAAGGGCAGCTTCGGCCTGCCCGGCCAGGGCGACTTCCTGCGTTCCCGGAACCACCTGCTCCGCACCATCTCGGCCCAGCCCAGCGGGCCTGGCCTCCGGCACGAGCGGATGCAGAGCCAGCCTGACAGCGAGCAGCGGGGCCAACGCAGCATGAGCGTGGCAGCCGGCTGCTGGGGCCGCACCATGGCTGGCCGGCTCGAGTCGGGGGCAGCCCCGGGCCCCAAGTAGGGCACTCTTAGTGAGGCGCTGTGGTCTCCATGGTGCTAGGCCAGGTGGCCAGCCCGCCGGGGGGGCTGGCCTGGGCACACGCCATCGGCTGCGGACAAGCTTGTCCCAGGACCCAGTGGAGGACACCAGCCGTGCCACACACAGCCCTCCCAGCCCTGCATCATGTCTTAGGGTCTGAGGGGTTCCCCGCCTGTCATGGAAGCTGACAGGACGACCAGCCCCAGGACAGAAGGACCAGGACCCCCCACGTGGACTGGCCTGGAGGGTACTCTCTGGACATTTGCCCTGCGTTGACCTCGCAGCATCCCGACGCCAGGCCTGGGCCCAACCTGCCACCTCCCAGCCAATAGTTCACCCTGACGTCCAGGTCCCTTCACACCTGGTAGCAGCTTCTTGTGAACTTGAGTTACTCAACTCTTTGACCTCATTGGTTTTGCACTGATTTTGAGAGTGGAGACCCATTACCATCTCCTGTGGCTACAGACTCGTTGACATGCATGAAAAGTCAACTTTTGCTGGACCGATTGCCACGCAGAAGGCTCCAAGGTGGCAAATCCTTCTGCAAGCAGGAAAGGCCATAGCTTAATTTCTGCAGCTCCACCTGGCTCACCAGTGCCATGGCAGCCCTGGAACCCTGCCCACCTGCCCAACCTGGAGCCCAGTGAGGCCGCAGGCCTGGCATCATCTCCGGCTGTGGGCACAGCCCAGGCAGTGAGGCCGGTTTAGCTCAGAGAGCCGGCTCCCATGAAGCCCTGCCTCGCCTGCGGGGCCTGGCCAGGCCTGGTTGCTTCTTCCTCCTCGCCTGCCAGTCAAGGCCCCATGCCTCGGGCCATCCGTATTTCTACACCTTTCTACTCCAATCTGATTTCTATGAGGTTTTTTTAACTGAGCAATCCTTGGCTGCTTCCTTTTCTTAACTCTTTCAGTACCAAGCGCAGCCCCTCCACATGAAAACACCCAGCACTGTGACAGAGTCCAGCCTGGTTCTGGGTCCTGCGGCCCTGCCCCCTGCCCACGTAGTGGGGTGTGGGCTCTCTGCCTCACCTGACCCGTTAATTCCACTGAATTTCTACTCTGGGGTGGGTGGGGCACACACTTAGGTTTTTAAAATGCCAGTTCCGTTCTGATGCCGAATCTGAGAAGCCACAACTCCCGGCGTTAGCTTCAAGGCAGGCAGCCACGGCTTCATTTCCTACCCGGTAAGGACCACGCTGTCCTGCACGCTGGGTCTGAGCGTCAGCCCTCCCTCCTCAGAACCGATGGCGATCTCAGCTGTAGCGCTCGGCTCCGGGCAGCCCCTCTGCCTCTCCTCCACCTTCTTCAAGGTGGGGGAGCCTGCCTGGTCTCGGACAGCCGTCCAGCGACCAGGCTCCATGTCCAAGCTGCTGCGGACCTGGATAGGACCTCAGCCTCATAGGCTGGGCTGGAGAGGCACGCCGATTGACGTTAACCTCTTCCCGTGTGTAGATATGTACAGCCAAAGGGTCGTGTAAATGTTCCGCCAAAGTGGGTCTATACAGAAAATGAAAGCTATTTATTTTGTGCAGAGAAAAACGTCTGAAGGGATGGGACCTTCAGGGTTTATTCCTATTTAAGATGTAGCTTTTTGTTGTTTCAGGCGTTATGTATAAAGCAACAATTATTTTATGGACCAAGTTTTAATGTAACTGTTGCAGTAAAAGTGCAATATCTGACCCCCCCTCTGCTCCCCAGCGGAAAAATCACTCGGCCGACAATCACAGCCCCGCCGAGGGGCCCGTGGCCAGTGCCTCCGTCTCTATCGGTCCCATCTCACCCCATCTTGCCTACCGCCTGGATGACTAGCCATTCGGAGAAGCACCTGGAAGTCTCGGGCCCGCCTGCAATAAAGGCTGGGAGGCCTCCCGGCCGGGGGAAGCCATGTGGCAGTGGGCGCGGGCTCTCCCGGCACACAGCGCCTCCACAGCTCCGTGCTCCCCACCTTCCTGCCCAGCCGCCAGCCATGCCAAGGACAACAGCAATAGTCCCCTGGGCCTCTCCCAGGGGCCTTCAGCCATAGATGGTGAGACGGGCAGCCCACCCTCCCTGTTGACATCCCTCTTCTGTACCCAGGTCTGCTTCCTGCTACCCTTAAGATTCCTTTGGCACAGTCTCCTCTTAAGGAAGCACCAGTGTTTCAGAAACTAAGAGAGGGAGGGCAGAGTCCTTTAAAAATACCAAAAATGTTTACAGTGTTGGGTGCTGAGCTGCATGGCTCAGGCCTGACCAGTCATTACCAAAGGGTGAGGCAGGCCTTGCCGACTGCCACCCCCACCCAGGCCTGTTAGAGTAGAAGCCTTAGTCCCACTCCCACCCCCAAATCCCAGGACTCAGCCTCAGCCTGCCGCCCCCAGACCCACACCCCTGCCTTCTCTTTGATTCCTAAAGAGGGGTTCAGCAGAGCCCCCAGCCCCTGCCCAGCTGGGCCTGAGCTGCCCGCCCGCCACGTCAGTCTTCACGTCTCAGCCCCCTCCCGTCTGTCTGTCTGGGCCATGTGTGAGCAGTGTCCTGACTTGCCCTCCCCGCCCCCGCCGTTGCTGTCCCCGCACCATCGGGCCTGAGTGTGCTCTGTATACAGTGTAATTGTCTGTCACGAATTAAAGAAGCAGGAAGGCTTCCTTCTGGGTGTCGTTACTGCACCAGCAACCCGGGCAGTGGGTGGCAGTGGAGGCCCAGCCTGGCCTGTGGTGGGGAGAGGAGGGCCTTCCCAGGACACAACGCGGCTGCACTCACGGGAGCACCAAGACACTCACAGGGGCCGTACCCTGTGCCGGCCCCTTCTGGCCCCTTCCTGGGTGTGAACCTGGCTCATCCTCACAACAACCCAGTGATGTGGGTGCTCTGAGCCTCTGCTTTACAGAGGACACTGTTAGTACGCTGGGCCAGGATTCTCTCCCGGGACTCCTGGCCTCAGCACCAGGACCCTCAACTGTTGTCATCTGCAGACTAAACACGGAAGGACAGCAGTCTCTGTCCGCGCCTGAGGGACTCAGGTTTAAGAGCCAAGTCTCTGGGTTTGGGATTTGGCTGGGGTGGAGGCTGGGGTCACTGCAGGCGGGCTGATCCGGGGATACGCAGGACAAAGGAGGCTGGTTTGGCCTGTGGGCACGACCACCAGGGCACAGCTCAGATTCCCCCAGAAGCTCCTGCAGCCCTTGATTGTCCTCTGGTGGTCCAGGATCACCCGTCCCAACCCCTCAGCACAAAAAGCAACAGAACACAGGAAATCTCCAACCAGGGCACATTTAATATCTGGGAAGGTGCGCTCTTTCAGGAGATGGGGGGAGCTGACTAAGACAGTGACCCCGTCCTCCACCCCTGCATCTGAGAGAGAGGCTGAGCCAGAGCCCAGTCCACAGGAGAAGAGGCAAACAGCACCCATCGGGCTTCCCACTGCCCACCCTGTCGTGCCACCGACACGGTCCACAGACCTTGGCCAACGGGGCCCTCAGGGCAGCAGCCCTGCTCGCATCTGGAAGGCCAGGCCGTCCCCTCGGGTGGCTTGCTGGTAAGAAGGCACACAGGAGGGGACACATCAGAAACAGAGCTGAGGGTGAGCCCTGGGCAAAGGGGCGACACCCACCTTGTTGATCTCCCTGTGTCTCTCCTTGGTTACGATTTCCTCTAAGACCTCGCCGTCTCCCTTAATGAGCCTGGGGGAGGAGGGAAAGACAGGCTGAGCCTCTAATGCAGGAGCAACAGAACCACAGCCACCCAGCAGAGGGGTGCCAGGCCTCAGTTCCCCACGCCTCCCTGTCTCCCACCCTTGGGACAGGGATAAAGGTGGCCGGGTGGGCTCTGCCATCAGATCAGCCAGCAACGGCTCTTTGAGGACCCTCGTGGCCCTTGCGACCCCTGCAACTGCTTGTTCTAGGCAATGGAGGAACCACCTGAAACGTCCCATCAACAAGTGACTACTTTTCTCCCCAACCTTAGCCTTTTTAGAGCGGCAGCCACCACCCCTCCTGAGTGCAGGGCTGAGGCGGGGCTTCGCCAAGCACTCCCTACCTGGTGCGTCCTGTCTCGGGGTCCACCACCTTGCGGATGACGCTCTGCCGGGCGTCCCACTCCTCCTTGGTCATGGGCTTCATGGCCTGGATGCGGGACTTCTGCTCGTCCGTCAGGACTGGAAGGAGAGATGGCCGGGCGGTGGTGGTCAGGCCTCAGGGAGGGGCCCCTCCCCGGCCCGCACGCCCGGCAGCACAGTACCTGGGCCGTCGTCCTCCTCCTCAGCTGATCGGTGCCACTGGTCCAGCGAGGGTCCTGGCAGCGCCTCAGGCTGCTGCGCTTTCGTCTTCTCCTTGCCTTTCTTCTTCAGCTTCTTCTTCCTTTTCTTCTTCTTCTTCCTCTTCTTGTCCTTGTGCTTCGCCCGCTTCTTCCGGCCATCGCTGGAGGAAGAGGAGGAGGAGGACGAGGAGGAAGAGGAGCTAGAAGAGCTGGAAGAAGAGGAGGAGGAGCTGGATCGCGGTCTCCTCCGGGCCTTGTGTTTGCTTCTCTCTGTGATGCAGGGAGAAGGTGAGGCTGGAAGGCCAGGAGGAGAAGAAGGAAGCCTTCCTCCCCAAGCTCTGGCCTGTGTAAGCTCAAGCCAACGACAGAGGCACTTTCTGGGCTCCACGCAGGTACTGTGTGACCGGGAGCAGGGCGGCCAAACTTCCACGGCCCAGGCCCAGCTGCACGAAAAGCATCACGAAATGCTCCCATGAAGCGATCCACACTCCATGGGCCGGCCCGGTCCCTGGATTCTGGGTCCTGCGCTCTGCACCTCTCTACTGCCCACTGCGATTCCCCCCAGCCGGCCCCAGGAAGCCCGCCCAGCGGCCTGCAGCTTCGCCCATGAACTTCCAGCACCCCTTGCCCATTCCCACTGGTCCTCACCCTCCGCCCCGGAGGAGGTGGTGCTGGCTTTGCGGCCTTGGGATCTAGACGCGGAACAGCTCCTCGGAGCATCCTTACAGCTCTTCTTCCTTTTCTTTTCCGACCCTCGCCCCCGGGACCGGCTGCGACTCCTGGAGCGCTTGCGAGAGCCGACGTGAGCCATAGCGTCGTGGGCTGGAGACGGGGAGATGCGCTTAAACTGAGGCTCTCAGACTGGGGTCCACGGTCCTCGGGGTCCCAGTACCCAACCCCACCCCGGGGCAGGTTTAAGAGAGACTCCGCCGCAACCGCACGATCCTCACCCATTCCCACCCCTGGGGACCCCGGAGATTCCGCCGACTCCCGGATCGTCCCCTGCGGCCCCTTTAAGGACCCGCCCCCGCTCGGGAGCTCCACGCCTGCGCACGCGGCTCCGGCTCCCCAGGAGCCACCGCGATCCCCAGCCGCCAGGTGCGTTCTGAGTCCCTTCCCGTGCGCTCCTACCCTCCACCCCCGCGCCCTCCGCGGCCTCGCTGCCTTAAGGAAGGTCCCCGGGACTACTCCGTTCTCTCCTCAACCGCCCACAGGGCCGGACCGCCCGCCCCGCACCAGGCCTTCACGTGAGGAAGCGGCGGCGAGGTGACTTCCGGCACTGGGCGGTGCTTCGGGAGGCAGTCCGGCTGCAAAGTGGGGGCGCTGCTGCCTTTAGTTCTGAAGCCCCAGGTTCCGTCTTTGGGGCAGCTCAAAAAAAA